CCTCGCATGCTTCACGACGCATTTCCCGAAGGCTCGGAACACGAATAATTCTTGGTGTGCCGGAGGCAAATCTGGACTAGCCAAGTGGCCATTTGTTGTCTACCTTTGTCATATTGTGCTTTTTATATTCTCATACTCTACCTTGCCTTTGAATAAAACATTGCGGATGCTCTGTTTCTTTGACTGATATATACATTGATCACTTGTTCCAAAAGAAAACACAAGCGCGATGAATAAAACGATAGTGAATTATCATTACCTGCATCTCTTTTTTTTATAACTTAATCAAAATAAAAATTACGTCACGACCGATTCGCACGAACCACTGAACAAAACAAAACAGGGAATCGCTAAATCAAAACGACCTACAAAAACTATCCATTTGGGCGATGAATAGTGGTCTGAAATTATGAACTTACGACATAGCCAAACGTCGGTTATGCAAAGTAATTCAAAAGTTGCGCCAGTGAAACCGAAACCGGAAGCGCAAGCCACTTGCTCTCATCAACCACTAGGTGTGCTAGAGTCGATTGGGCCGCTGGGGTCTACGGGAGTGTCCACTCTTCACCTTTTTTATTTCTCTATGGGACGGCTCAGTGCTCTCCCATAGTCGAGTACGAAGTACTCGAAATCATTAAACATATTTTTCTGAACAAACGCAGGACGCTAGTCGTCCTCGCCTATAATCAATTTTGAGGCCCATGGGACGGCTTTTCCTGCTCTGCCATAGTGCGAAGTACTCTAAATCGTCAGCAACGTGCACACGCAAGTCATTGGAATGGCTCACTGCTCTCCCATTGTTGAGTACCGAGTACTCGAAATATTTATCTGTGCGTTTTTTTCTAAATACGTTTGAATTCTTGTGTTGATTTCAAAGTAACATGAAGGAATAATGTTACAGTTTGGCCGCAAGGGCCTAGCAACATATACGCTGTATCAACAAGTTGGAACGCCCTGTGAAGAGTGGCTAGCAGATCTAAACATGCAGCGCACTGCTGAAGCACAAAAGACGCACGAAAAGAACATACGCAGCTCCAGGGCGAACAGCGCTCGCAGCTCAGCACTTAACGCGCTGCTCAAACACAAACTTTGTGCTTGAGCAGCGCACTTAACGCACGTGCAGGCATACACAGGACGAGTGCGCGAACTAACTAGTGTCACGGTTACGTCACTGTGTTTGAACAGCGGGCTCCTCTCGCGAACGGGGCCTATGCATGTAGCGAGTGAAGTGACCTTCCTGCTTGCTGTAACTTGGATTGGATTGGATTGGATAAACTTTTATCTGGTCCTCCAAAACACGGATCACCGTGTTGCGGGCAGCTTCGACGTACATGTTACCCTTTCGGTGAATGCTCACGACTGTGAAACATCACACACCTGTCACAAGACGGGCGACTGCACCTTCAAGGCAGTGTTGCCAGGTTGAACGATGTGGCGTAGGCAAGAGCATAGAGTTTCTCACAATCATACCTAGAGGGAAATCTGGCGCTAGTGAGCTGCTGGATTCAAGGGAATGCCGGGATAGGTGAGTTTCGAACTTGACTCGGGTTTGTTTACCCCAAAGACGCGTCTGGCTTCACGTTAAAGTGATTGATTTCTTATTGAAAAAGCACAAAACAAGCTATTTATTTTTGTCGTTGCACATAAACGTGTTGTATTTACCACTAGAACCTTCTACGGTGGTGTAAATTTTTAGAAAGCGTAAGAAGTAATCAACGGCGGCTAAACATGGCTGGCAGAAGACAAAGCGAGCGTTTTTTTTTCGCCATGTTTATGTCCTCTGTTTTTTGCCTTCGCTGTTTGGTTGTGCCATCAAGATGAGTGGACATCTATTTTAGAATATATTATACGCGTGAATGAGATCTCCTTCTAAACGTTTTGTTTTAGAGAAGCTTTGTTTACGCAGTCGTATTCACTTTTGAGCCGAAGCTTCACTCAACACCAGCTAACACAAGCCTCGCAGGCGCATACACCGCCATTCCCAGCGCTCCAACATCGCCCGTTAAGAAATTCGCATAGACGGTGGCGCCACACTGTCCTCTAAGTATATGCGAAAAACTCTATGGGCAAGAGTGAGAGAAAGCGTAGACCAAGTGCAGCCAAAGGCAAAAAAAAAAAAAAGACTGACGAGATATGCATCCAAATATGGCCATTCTTGTTTTATTCGGACATTTAATTTGACATGTGCTAATAGAGCCAAAGAAGGGCTTGCGGAGAGGCGGATGAACTTTCAGCGGTCGCCGTGGCAAAAACCATTGTCCAGAAACCGATACTGCTCATCCCCCGTTTTTCCGTCCGGTTAGACGGCGACGTGGGCGCGTCGCAAGTCGTATTTGTGATTTTTTTTTCATTTGTGGAATTTAGATAGTATATATTTTTTTGTAGCACATACGGGTTATGGGGGCGACGGCACAACCAGCCTAGACAGTTTGTTTTTCTTTATAATTGGTATTGAACAATAAAATTAGGGTAGCTAGGCCTCATTCTTGCGAATACTTCGGAAGCTGTGGAGTTGGCGACGTTGCCTTCATCGTTCTACTTCTCCTGGCTTTCGCACCCTTTTCCAACCCTGCGATTTATTATACAATAAAAACTATGCTAAGTCTTACCCTCTAACCTCCATCTTTCCGTCCCAACCACAATCACTCTTTTTCCCTTCCCTAGCTGTACTGTATTATACATATGCCTATGCTTTCTTTTTTATATAGCTTTGTTTGACTCTGCTTCTTCCGATCTGTTTCTATGTTTTTCTACGTTTTCCTTTTTTATCTCGGCTACTCCATGTCCTTCTCTCTCATTTTTATTTTCATTCTGTTACCGGTGTCTAACCCCCGTACTCAAAAACGCTCCTCGACTTGACTTTCACCCTTCCCTTGAGAGAGTTGAGCACTGCGCCACTGCTCGGCTGAAAATGGCGCTGCTCTACTGAAGAATAGCAGCAAAAGATTTTTTCCTGCCTAGAAATGGCGCTCCCATCGGCTTTCTCAATTGAAGGTGGAGCGTTGAGTGAAGGGGCGTTCTAGAGTACGTAAGTACTGCCAACAGTAAATGATGTATATAAATAGCTCGCCATCTTTGGCAAGCTGAAGAATGTTCACTTTGTGGCTGAGTTCGCGCAGCGAAGCGAGGGCTCCTATAGGTTCGACTTCCAGCGATGGAACGTTTTCTTCTACTATTTTTTCTTTGTAGTTTCTTATATACTTTACAACGTCATATCCGTGACGGAAACACGTCAGTGCAACCGTGGTGGACCCCGGCATAACACACTTTACTGTTGAAAGCTTCGCTGGCCTCCGATCCCGAATTGACGAAGGAGCGCCTGTACACTTTACACGAGCCGACCGAGGGCGTCAGCTATATCCTACACCGCTCAAGTTGTACTATAGTATTTTTTTGTGTCACGACATTTTTGTTCATGCGCGTTTTCTTTCGGACTCGACCAATGAGAGGGGGTGTGGAGCACACGGTGAAATTCGGCCCCGTTCAACGATGAACTCGGTGCACGCCTATTTCTGAAAGTGGAAACCGCGTACATCAAAATAAACCAATAAATGCACGTGACAATACGAAGATGCTGGACGAGTGTTGCGCTGATGTAGAAAATATTAGTTATAGCTTCTTCAGCTTGAAGTGCATGTTGGTGCACCACAAATCAATTAAGTATATAGAAGTGCTGCTAGGAATCATTATGATGAGTCAAGACTATGGCAAATTTTATTTATTTATTTATTTAACATACCTTACAGGCTCTCGTTAGAGCATAGGGTAAGGGGGGCTTACAGAAAAAAAGAAAAATGAGAACGTATACAGTTCAAATATACAAATAAATGCAACATAACAGCGACACTAATAACAGTAATAGAACAAGGAAAATACAGTCACCAAGTATATGCACCTCCATACAAATGTCTATGAAATGATGCTAGATGTAGTGAGAGAGTAGTTTCTCGCGGAACGCGTTGTTGTTAGTGACTGCAACTATATCGTCGGGAAGATCATTCCACAGTGAGATTGCCTGTGGCAAAGCAGATAAGTTGAACGCCTGCAAAAAAAAACTGCCTGCAAAAAATGCCTGCAAAAAATAAAGGGGGGGGGGGCGTGCCTGCTCTTGTGATGTTGTGTGTGTTCCTTACTCCGTGTCCTTGTCGGTGGTGTAGCGGTTACGATGCTCCGCTGTTGAACCGAAGGTCGCGGGTTCGATTCCGGTTGCGGCAGTCGAAATTAGATGGGGGCGAAATGTAGAGACCAGTGTACCGTGCGGTCTCAGTGCCCGACAACGAATGCGAGACGCTCGGAATTTCCGGAGCCCTCCGCTACGGCGTCTCTGACAATCATTTTGCGGTTTCGGGTCGTTGAAACCGAAATAGTATTACTTCTGTCCTGGTCATTGCACGCACTTTGATAACGTCCGGCTGCAGACACACGAAATAACCGAGTTTAACCACTTCGTAGCACTCACAAAGCATGGTCCGATGTGAACGTTTTGTTGTCTGAATGGGCAAGCTACTTCAAGTGCGTTTTGAAGCGAAGCGATGCGTTGGAGTTGCTAAATCGGCATCATTCGGCGATCTGCTTACAGTGCACCTTACTTAGCGGGAGCGTTCTCCTCGGCAACTATGGATAATATGAATTCGCTGCCGCCTGCGAAACCGGCCGATACGCGAGTCAATCACATCAATAATTGGTGGTTAGTTGTATAGCAATTTTTTTCTGTCTCCATTCCGCGTCTATTCTTCGTGTTTGAAAAATCCGGCCAGAAATGAGCATCTTTAACGAGCTTTAGTAGGTGCAGTGGGACCCGGAAACATACCTGGTTCTGCTGCAGAACAAACACCTTGTTCGTGGGTGAAATCACTCAGGATTCATAAGAGACTGAATAGTACAGAAACAAAGCCTCCCCGACTATGTGTGGTTGGATTTACTACAATAATATTAAAAAAACACACTCATTCACGAGTGAAGATTGTTCCAGTTTCTGAACTTCGATCACTATACACACGTCAGATGTAGGGCTGCTGTATCTCTCTCACGGAGCCCATGAGTAAGATGGCGTCCGGATTTCTGCTCACCACGCAGAACATGAAAGGGTGGTCAACGGCGAACTCGGCCACCTTCAGCTCGGTTCCCCCTTCTGGCGTCATCAGCTTCTGCCCCTTTTCCTTGACGCATACCACGGCGCAGTGCATCGCCTGCAAAAATATCATCATCATCATCATCATCATCATCATCATCATCATCATCATCATCACCATCATCAGCATCATCATCATCATCATCATCATCATCAGCTAGACTACGTCCACTGCAGGACAAATGCCTCTCCCATGTTCCGCCAGTTAATTCGGTCCTGTGCTTGCTGCTGCCATTTTATGCCCGCAAACTTCTTAATATCATCTGCCCACCTAACTTTCTGTCTCCCCCTAACCCGCTTGCCTGCTCTGGGAATCCAGTCAGTTGCCCTTAATGACCAGCGGTTATCCTGTCTACGCGCTACATGCCCGGCCCATGTCCATTTCCTCTTCTTTATTTCAACTATGATGTTGTTAAGCCCCGTTTGTTCCCTAATCCACTCCGCTCTCTGCTCGTCTCTTAAGGTTACACCTACCAGTCTGTAACAACAACAACAACAACAACAACAACAACAACAACAACAACAACAACAACAACAACAACAACAACAACAACAACAACAACAACAACAACAACAACAACAACAACAACAACAACAACAACAACAACGTCACCCCCGCATTTGAAGCTTGACGAACATAGCTAATATTTTTTTTTATCAAGGCTGATTAGGGACCGCCTCTTCCACTATTGAAAAAGCCTATTTCAGTAAGCTGTACCGCGGAAACTCTGATTCAAATGGTTGAGTAGGCACTTATCTTCCCAGCTTCAGTAATATCTTTCACCCGTAAGTGTTTAGCATTTTCTCAAGACAAGTCTGTACTGAGCAAGTCTAAACTATGGATTTAAACGGCGGATGCGTCCGCATTCTTTAAAGTGTGAACAGAAAGAGCGTGACACCTGCAAGAATATTCAAGAACGATGAGTGACACTCCCCCCCCCCCCCCCCCCCCCCCCTTGAGTCTGTCGTTTAGACATCGGCATGTGTGATTCATGCGTGATTCTGTGCTCATGGTTTAAACTTGCGCTACGTAGAAAGTTAGTACTGCCGTTTCCGTTCCTGCAGTTTTTTAGCTCACATACAATATGCTTTTGTTGACCCAGTGCACCGCTTGCGCGTAGACAGCGATCAGTATTATGGCATCACGCACGAATGGAAAGATGCAGTTACAGCGCTTTGGTGCACGACCGAAAAAGTAAGGGATAACGTTATCGCTGTGCTGCTGCTCCAGCGTGGCGACAAGGATCATGTTGTAGATTTTCAGTGACATCTGTGAATTCGCTCGGGGTGTATATATATAATGCAAACACTCGTAGGTGCTACTGAAGATGGGTGCCCACAGACGTTTTCGAATGTTTTAGCTTATGGGGGTACATAATGACTGGTGCGTGTTTTAAGCGAACCTATCAGTTCTTTCTTATGCTCTTCCGTACCTGGGAAACGTGGTAGCCCTTGGTGCCCACGATTCCCGAAAGATCTGCAAAGCCCGTGAAGACGTCCTTGATGCCCATGGAGGAGAGGGTATCCTTCATATTAATCACCTGCACAATATGGTGACAGACATTCTCAGAGCTGAGCCGAAATTGAGCATTTCCAAGAACTATAGCAGTTTATAACTCAAGGAAAAAAAAGTCAGCTCCATTTGCACTCATCGCTGTCCCCCTCACCGGGAATTCGCATAATCGCGTCATCCAATCGCGTTATCTCATTTTGGTGACGTCACTTAGTTCTCGGGCGTTTCTGATAGTTTGCTTTCACGTGTATAGACACACGTTTAGTCGCCGGCTTTAGATCGATAGTCGAGTGTCCTAGTACATTTCGTCATGTATTCTGGCATTGCTGCTCAGCGAATTCAAGTGTTTTGTGTAGAAGCAATTAACCTTTAACTGTTAATATTTGTAGTTTTTACATTAACTGGTCAAAAGTAGTTTCAGTTCAAGCGGAAACCAGTGAGTATAGGGCTGTTTTTCATAGGGAAAAAGGCAAGCCTGCCGTGTTTGTATGTGCAGTACTTGCGTTTTTTTTTCTTAGGTTGCAAGCGAACATACCACTTGTAAGCATGTAGTCTGTCTAACGTCGTAGCCAGGCTACTTGCTTACAAGTGGCAGGCAATAAAGCCCGCATTACTGTTGTTGTCAACAGTTCGTTTTCCAGGAGAAATTTTTTATGATTTCAGATATAAGCGCACAGCATCGCACTAATGATGGCTTTTTCAGCCCTTGCAGCTTCTTTAACACTTCGTGAACAGGCATCTGAATATTTAGCGCCAAGGTGATGTCGGCACCTATAGCGGACGGAGGAAATGTGCGTACTTTGGCTCGCCAGAAGCTGCAACTTTGCCAGACAGGTGAGGACGAGTGAATAATGGTGTGGGGCTCAGGAATATCGTGACAATTTCTAAGTTCTAGTACGGTCATAAAAACAAAACCGAAGGTAATATGATAGGCAGGCATACAGGGCAGTGACAGGTGAGTCTCAAAAATAGTGGTTATTCACGAAAGAACAGAAAACAGTGACCTGTATATGTACTATGGTTCACTGCTAAAGCTAACGCTCAAACGAACGCTTTTCGTTTATAATGCTTGACACCTAACGGCAAGCGAACGTCGAAAAGTTTGTGCGTAGCACTACAGCGCGTACAAAAGAGTCCTAACTGCTAACCACCAATAGTTCTATATGAAAATCGAAACCACTGTGCTTTGGGAATGGTGTGAAACGCACACAAGCGCAGTACGCAAGTGCTCCCTTTAACACTTGTCTCGCCTGTACACACCTGCTTGGCGCAAAAGCGTGGCAAGCTGATGGCCACATCGCGCTCTTCCTTGATCTCGTTCACGTAGCGCAGTAGCAGGTCTCCGGTCAGCTTCTCTTCCAGCAGCGCTAGTCCGTCCAGTTGGCGAGGCAGGAATATGATCATCGACTTGTCCCGGCGCCGGTACCTTCATTTGTTCGGCCAAAAAAAAAAAGTTTAGTTGAGGCTCGGGCTTACTCTGTGGTTATGTCGTTTGGTTGCTCAGCACGAGAGAGGTGGTAAGATGATCGGCACTCACCGAATCACGGTGGAACTGAGTATCGGAAGGCTTATATATGTAATGGCATTTACACAACCCTGACATTGTATCGTCTAAATGACCCCAGAGCGTTCTGGCCACTGTGTTAATCGTGATCTTAAACCAGTTTTTGTCCTGGCCGTGGAGGTATTTCGATGGAGGTGAAATGGGGAGAGGCCCGGGAAATGTCAGATGTTAGCGCATGTTAAAGAAGACCAGATGGTCGAAATTTGCAGAGCCCGTCACTACGGCGTCTCTTATAATCATATCGTGATTTTGGAACGTAAAACCCCAGATGTTGATATAATTTTAATTAAACCAGTTTTTTTTAAACGAAAACCTTTTAAATGCGCGAAACGTACCAGAAAAAAATTGAGATAGGACAGAGAGCACTCACTCACTAGTTTATTGCTTGAATCGGGGGAGTATATTTAGACAGTAAGCTGGCCGAGGAGAATAAGTAACATTGAAAAAAGGAAAGTGACGGCGCATGCGCAAGACAACCCATTCACATGTTGAAACGGCACTTCAACTCACGAGAACCCGGTATTCGTTGTCTAACAAGTTGTCTAAGATTGACAAACACACTCCGTTCCTGCCTTGCAGTTAAAGAAAACTTTATACATTTCGGGTGCCCTCATATACCCATATCTTGCCATTACTTGCCAATCATAGAACACGGAGGTGCAGCAACACTTGACACAGTGATTTGATAAGCGTGGGTACACCCCCTCTCGCTATCGCTTTCCCGTTCTCATAGTTGCTTCATCATCTGGCCCACGTGATAGTAGATACTGTACCCACCACTTGAGCAATAGACTGTTTGCAAGTGCGCACTCTGGCAATTGTCATTTTATTCTTGGAACGTTTCTCGCAGACACAAAAAAAAAAGGGGGGGGGGGAGATTTCTGAAAGGATGCAGTGCTAGCCATCCCAAGCAGCTACTTCGTTTCGGCTGCTAGTCAGAAGGTCGCGGGTGTGATCCCGGCTGCTGCGGTCGAATTTCGATGGAGGCGAAATGGTGGATGCCCGCGTACTGTGTGTGGGATGCCATTGTTCGTTAAGAAACACCAGATGGTCAAAATTTTTGGAGCCCTCCAGTATACGGCGTCTCTCATAATGATACGGTAGTTTGGGGACGTAAAGCCACTGATTATCATAACAGCTACCCTGTTGTTTCATAAGTAACTTCGCATTTTGTGATTTAGTAACACTGTGTGAACATTGCAAAGAACCTTTCACCGCGAATCGTGTTTTATTAATAAGATAACGTGTCCAGTTTTAGTGAAAAAGAAGACACGATACAGACACCTCTGCACCCAACGTTAATGCTACCGTAAAATGCAGTCGTACCCACAGAGGACGCTTTTCGTTTTCTTGAGACCGCGGGTACTTTAAAAAACTATAAGCAAAAGTTTGATTTTACACTTTTTATCTTACTTCATCTTACCGTCTCATAAAAAAATCACATCGTGTCTGGCGCATCATAGCCATTGCTGCTTTTGTGCCATAAAATCCAACTAACTAACTAACTAACTAACTAACTAACTAACTAACTAACTAACTAACTAACTAACTAACTAACTAACTAACTAACTAACTAACTAACTAACTAACTAACTAACTAACTAACTAGCTAACTAACTAACTAACTAACTAACTAACTAACTAACTAACTAACTAACTAACTAACTAACTAACTAACTAACTAATTAAGAAATAACTAACTAACTAACTAACTAACCAATAATAACTAACTAACCAACTAACTAATAAATTAACTAATTATACAACTTACTAACTCCATTTCATGAATAGGGTGCAGTGCGAAGGTAAACAGCACGGACTAAGAGACGGCAGCGATTACGTGCCAATTCCTTATGAAACGTTATTTCCGTCGCCCCGTCGACCAATGAAGACAATTATGCAAGCGTGTTCCGCACTTGAGTTCCAGCGCCGTCGCGTCGATCTCGGCCAGCTCGGCCACGGGAAACCGGCCCGACTGGTGCATGACGGCCACCGTTCGCGGGACGTGCGGCGAGGAGCGGAAGGTTCCGCGAGTGGTGTCCTGCAGGCGGAACTGCCACTTCCAGTCGCCGCGCAGGTACGTCAGGCTGGCCAGCACCATGGACGAGGTGTCGGTCACCGAGTGTTCGGGAAACACGTCGCCGCACTCGAACGCCGACAGGTAGTGCAGCCACTCGTTGGTGCGATCGCGCACGCCGGCCGCGTCCTCCGCGAAGCTCACGTACCTGGCGGGGAGGACGAAAGAAATCGATGGAGTGGAAATCATTTCCTAGGAGTGAAGCCGTGCCTCTGATAAGATGGCGGCTGTGGCGGCCATCTTGCCAGGGGCACGATAAAGTATCACCGTTGTTTAGAAAAAATTTCTTTCCACAAACGTATAACACTCAACAGAACATTTCCTTCTTAGACGTACTCTAACGATGATGACAAAACAGACGTCATTTACATGAACATGGATATGAGATGACGTTGAAAGAACAAGTACATTCTATGGTTCACACAAACACAACCACAAAAATACTTCAAGGTAAACAAGAGACACAAATAAAACATAAATATGTGCATTTTGCATAATATGCAAAGTATTTGCATTTTGCATATGTACATTTCGCATATCACCGTTCAACGATTAAGAACGGAGCGCTTCCCTCGAACGCCCAACGAGTGTAACGTGGAAACTTTTTTCGGGTCATATAGTGCTCCAAGTGCGTATTAGTGTTGCTAGTTTTCCTTCGTGAGCCTCCGATTGGAGGGAAAGTACTTGGGAAATTCAGTCACCCATTCTCGTCTATATGTGTTATCTCGTCGGGAACAACCGTCTTTTAATGAAAAACTGGCGTAGAATTTGCACTAACATATCAAAGCACCTGATCTCTAAGTGGGAACTATCAGAAAAGAGCATGTTTCCGCCATCTTGGCAATGGCAAAAGATGGCTTCACTTCTGCTGGCAAGGCATTGCGGGAGCTTCCACTTCAGCATTTTTTAGATGCGGAGCATCTAATACTCGAGGCTTGTAGTGCGGCGCCGTCCGCAAGCTTCCTCCTCCTTCTTCCACCATCTGTGCATCCCTTCCTCCTCTACACACCGCGCACGCTTCACTCCTCCACCATCTGTGCACCCTTCCTCCTCTACACACCGCGTGCGCTTCTCCTGTTCACGAACATTCGCTAGCTGTATAATGTAGCGCGCATGCGCCGTCACGCTTCGAAAACATCGGCAGCTGACGCGCGCGCATGCGCCGTCGCGCTTCGAGAACATCGGCAGCTGACGCGCGCGCATGCGCCGTTGCGCTTCTCCCCCTTCTCGAACATTCGACAGCTGACAGTGCATGCGCCGTCGCGCTGTATATATACTCAAGGTCGGCGCTCGCTCGCTCAGTTGCCGCTCGTCGGTTGGTTTGTACGGCGCGTCGACGTCCAAGGTCGCGGTGAAATGAATGCCAACGAATCCACAAACACAATGATCGACGTCCCTTCGACCAGCGCCGCCCTTTCGCATACGTGTGTACGTGTTCACTCATTTAACACCCCCTCCTACAACCACGTTTACCAATTTAGCCATCGACCCAAGTAAGTCGCAATTTAACACCCCATTTCACAACCACGTTAACCAATTTAGCCATCGACCCAAGTAAGTCGCACTTTAACACCCCGTTAACCAATTATATGCTCCGCATCCTCCTCAGTGTTCCCCCGAGGGGAAGCTGCGGGCAATTTTTTTTAAATCCTCCTTGACGTATCTTACGGGGAGCGGAATTGTCATTTTTTTAGAAGGCGCAGTGTTTCGCTTCATTCGCATAGAAAAAAAAATAAAAGGTGGAGTGGTTGCTCAACACGTTAGCATTTCTATTAATGTACGGTCGATATAGACGGTTTCAAGGTTGCACCCAAAATAATTTTTAGTCACCTCATTTACCGGCTATTTACGGCGTAACAGAAAGCACGTTTTCAAGTCCTTTTCAAAGGTAAGGAAAATCCCTCTTTCGTTTTTTCACATAAAAGGAACGTGTGTAAAGTACAAATAATTCTTTCATTGCTCATGCCATTGCTCTTGCATTGACGGACGGTGTACATGACACAATTTATTCAGACTCCAAGACCGCTATCAAGGCCTTTCAGATGGGCATGGTGGCTCCCCAGGTCCTACAGATTATTCAAAAAGTCAAAGACCTCAAAAATCACTCATTGGTCTGGTTTCCTGCGCACCTTGGAACCATTGAGGGTGCCTCGCTCAATCCCAACGAGGAGGCGCACTCGGCTGCACGAGGTTTGACTGACCGTGTGCCGGGTAACGCGTCATCTCCTGGGCGACCTGAGCCTCTCTGCTCGTACAACGAGATATGCAAGCACCACTATCTGTCAAGAAGACTGCTGCCTCTACCACACTCCTCGCTATGCAGGGCCCAAGCTGTTACTCTCCGACTGCTACAAACAAACACTTACCCGAGCCCTGCGGCACTGCACACAATGTACCCTGAACGGTTTCCAAGCCCGGACTGCCCCCTGTGTGGTGGTTATGCGGACTTCGAGCATGTACTGTGGGGCTGCGCCTCTGCCGGTCCCCCTTTCACCCAAGAGGAAATGAAGCGACTCATTAAGGCCCAGGACCAGACCTCTCAAATCCTGGCTGTCCAGAGGGCCCGCTCGAGGGCCGTCAGGTTTAACCTGATGGTCCCCGAGTGGGCCTAGCCAGGTGACGCTGAGTTTACTCGCGTCTATTGTGGACCGAATAAAGTTGTTTCACTCACTCACTCACTCATAACTTTTATGTAGCCCAAAAGAACATTCAATTTAATATACTTTGTCAAATAAGACGTGAAAACTGGAGAAAATCAGCGTGCTATTTTGTAAAGGTCTTGTTGTACACCAATGCTCTTACGGCGCATCGGCATACACTGGACACAGCCGAATGCTAAGGACGTCCCTGATCGTTCTACGTCAGGGGCGTCCGTCAGTACGAGTCATGGTGCCCGTCGCGTCTTGGACGCCTTTGAAGGCGCTTGTCTTCGACCTTGTTGTCCCTACGGGGACTAGTGCCGAGACCGTCGTTGATGCGACGGCCTCAATAGTCGGCCTCTCAGAGGTATACTGCGTGCAGCATCAGGGAGCTCGAAACTTCCAAGTCTCCGTTAAGAGCATGGCCTCCATGTCTCTAATCGTCAATGCTGGCTGCCTGGTGATTGGCGGCGAGCGTGATCAAGTCGTTCCCGTTGGCCCACAAGTGACCAACGTCGCCTGCCTGTTCCTGCCATCGTTCGTTTCAAACGAAGCTCTCGTCCAAGCGTTATCCCTATATGGCAAGGTGCTCACTGTCACCAGTGGTTTGATGAGCGGGCGACGCGGCGTACTCACTGGAACGCGGTATGTTCGAATGGAGATGAACGCCGCTAATCCTGTGCCGAACTACCTGCGCATCTCCGGTCACCGTGCTACGTTTGACTACCGTGGTCTCCAGCGTGTATGTCGAAGATGCGGCTCAGGGGACCATCTACGAGCCCAGTGCACAACACCGTATTGTGGTCGCTGCGGTGTGCACGGTCACGTTAGTGAAGGATGTGACCGCCCATGTCGACGCTGCGGGGACGGCCACCCAACTGTGGTTTGCCCTGTCCGCCGCTCTTACTCATACGCTGCCGCTGGTGCCTTTCCACCACTGACACCGGCAACGGAACCAACTACCGACTCGGGGGACGCAGAGGAGGTCACCGACGCTGTGCTGGCCTCACCCCTACAAGTTCCTTCAAACGAAGCGCACAACGAAAGCGCGATTGTCGATGCGACGCTTGGCGCGTCGGCCTCCCCGCTGGTGCAGGAACCGTGCGCTTCGAAAGACGCAACGCACTGCCCTGAAAACGGCGTCGGCGTCTCTTCTTTGACGCCACTTGATGTTCAGTGCACAAATGACCCCAGTTATCAGGCTGCTACTGTTGGAGTTGGCCCTACGACCCCTGTTATTTTGGAAAACAGTGGCGAAAACACCACAGCCTCTTCTGTTGCGGCCGCTCCGACCATTTCGACATCGCGTCGTACACGTAAAAAATCGCCCACACAAAGGGTGCCTACACCAGACTGCCGAGACGCGGACAGTGCTGCCAGCATCAAGAATGTGGATCCAAGCTTGCTGGCGGCTCAGTCCCTACCTCCTCAGGACACGTCTTCGGAAGACGGCTTCAGCCTGGGACTGGATAGTAGCATCGGACTGTCTAGCCTTGCCGATTTTGACGTTGGAATGGGAGCTCCACGTGAAACAAAGCGAGGGCACACTTCCAGCTCTTGCTCCGATGAACGCAGTGATGGCCATGGTAAATCCCAACGGTCCAGAAAACCTCGACCCTCTTCTGGAGGGTAGAACAGTGCGTTGTAATTTGGTCGAGCAAGTGTCCCCTGGACACTTTCCAGGACACCGTCTAGAACTATGCGTCCAGGTTAGTCTTTACTTTTAGGGGCGAAGCTCCTTAGGGCGGGGGCTGTGCGTCCCCTGTATGTAGCCACCTCTAGTTTAGTTCTTGCAGTGTTCACTAGATGGCGGTACCGTCTCCTGTATGTAGCCACCTCTCGTTTAGTTCTTGTAGTGTTTACTAGATGGTGGTACTTGTAGCTGATAATGAAAAGATGCAAGATGTTATAAACTAGAAAGCGGTACTTGTAGTTGATGAAAGACGCGAGATCTTATAAAATAGGAATGATGTCACATATGGCGCGTGTCATTGGTTGAAGGCAATCGTTCGATTTAGTGCGGCGACGTACGCTAGGGGGAGCGATGTAATAAAATCGAGTGGGCAAAATGTACAGAGGATTCATGGTTTACCAGGTTTACCTCCTGAGCTTCGCCCACTCATCATCATTCACTTCGTGGATATGGCGGCACTTTTTATTATGGCTACTACACTGCATAATATTTCATTGAACGTTCAGGGTTTTCGCAGTCCGGCAAAGCAGGCTGAAGTGATTAGTGTCGCCCGCGCTGCAAATTGTGATGTTTTGTGCCTTTTAAACGAAGGTTCAACCTAGATAGTTATTTCTCTTTTGCTACATATTGTTTTACGGGAGTAGGTATTATTATTTTTAACCGAGCTCTATTAAGTGATCATCATGCTTTTTACGATGGCGTGGGCAGGGTTTTGGCTTTAGACTGCTGCTACTTTTCTTTCAGATTAAAGATACTGTGTGTGTATGGGCCAGCGCAAGCTGGACAGTCTAATGACTTTTTTAGAGACCTGGATGTGTTTTTTCTTGACGGTCGTGATGTCATTTTGATTGGCGACTTCAACTGCGTTCTAAATACGCGAACCGATGTACAAGGTCCTGGCTGGGGCTGGGCTGCTTGGAATTCACGCGAGCTTCGCCGCCTTGTCCACCACTTTTCATTACTAGACGCGCACAATGTAGTGCACGGAAATACCTTTGTTTGGACATGGCGACGTGGACGATCCTCCAGCAGGCTCGACCGGGCTTATATCCCACGAGCGTTAGAGGCGTTTGTCTCTGATTTATGCGTTCCGTCCTTCCCACCTTCTCCTGTGTATGTATCTGATCATCGGCCTATTGTCTTGAAGCTCGAAGTTTCATTTTCTTTCTCAGAAAAGCCATGGCGTCTTGATGTTCGCGTCCTGCAGGACGCGCGCTCAAGATCAGATTTCTCACGCGCAATACGTGTGTCGCTCACGGCGTCTGGTCCTGAAGATTGGGATGCGCTTAAAACACAGTGGCGCCTGCGCTGCGCAGTAGAGGGGCGTTCGCTTCGTCGACGCGTTTCTGAAGAGCTTGCTGATACCGCCATGAAGTTACGCATTGCTTTGCGCGCCGAGACGCCTTCTCCTCTGATGCGAGCGTGGCAGCGTGAACTGCGTGAACGCTTTCAGCGCTTGACTGCTGCTTCGTCCCTGGCGGCAGCAGCATGGCGCTGTAGACACAACCCATGTGCACATCCCGAGGTGCTGCGCTACGCGAGACATTCCTTTTTTGGGCAATCAGAGTCACCTGTCTCTATGACAGCACAAATACCACCTGCGCAGCGGCTTCCTAGGCGTGATCGATCTGTTTTCTTGGCGCATTTTGAAGCAATGTCGTGTTCGGCCATGCGGACTAACTGTGATGAAACACCGCCAATGCTTAGAAGTTTGCCCCGTGTTCCTCAAGAAGCTGAAGATTGCCTGCACATCCCTCCGTCGGCTGAAGAGGTAAAGGCGGCACTGAAATCTATGAAACGTGGAACGGCCCCAGGGCCAGACGGTTTACCTGTTGAGTTTTACTTGACATTTTGGGATGAGATTGGTGCTACATTTACCGCGGTAATCTGGCGATGCTACGAGGACGGTGTCTTTCCATCAAGTTTTCGAGATGGACGCATTGTGCTTATTCCAAAGGGTGATGCTTCCTCTGTTAATCCTGAAGATTGGAAACCTATCACGCTCCTCAACGTTGACTATAAGATATTCGCGGCGGTAGCCGTTCAACGTTTGAGGGGTCTGTTGAACACCCTAATAGGTCATCACCAGACTTCATCAGTGCTTGGACGAGAAATACACAGCTTGTCATATACCACACGGGATATCATAGCTTATACTTTGTCGCGATCTGCGCGTGGTATCCTTGTGTCTTTGGACCAGGAAAAAGCGTTTGACCGACTAGAGCACGCGTATATCTTTAATGTGCTCACAGCCTTCGGCTTTTCTCATTCGTTTGTGGAAATGATTAAAAATACGTACACTGGTCTGAAAAGCACACTAGTTCTGGATGGTTGGGAAAGTGCTGCCTTTTCCATAACACGTGGGGTCCGTCAGGGATGTCCATTGTCTCCTGTGCTATTTGTCCTCAGCCTTGAGCCATACTTGCGTGCTCTTGACGCGGATTCACGTGTCCGGGGTCTTGCGCTTCCTGGTAGCGGTGTCATGAAAGTCACGGCTTTCGCTGATGATATAACCTTGTACCTTTCAGATGAAGATAGCCTTTCACGCAGCCTGCATGTATTTTCTCAGTATGGCGACATTTCAGGTGCAGCGTTGAACATCTCCAAATCCCGGTATTTCTTCATTGGCTCTCCAAACTCCAGGCTTAGCGCCGGTGTTCCCATTCAGCCGGCCGCGTCCCTTCGTATTTTAGGTATTTCATACAACCACTACGGCATTTGCGAATCTGTTTGTTTAAACGCTCTCGAGGAAGTAAGACTGAAAATTCAGGATGCACGGGATTTTGACTTCCCGCTTCTTGAGCGGAGGTACCTTGCGCAGACTGTATTTTGCGGTCGCATTTGGTACCTTTCTCACGTCGTGCAACCATCTTTACGTATCGAGCGATCACTGCAGTCTGCTTTGTGTTCCTTTTTTTGGTCAGGCGGCACTGAGTTGGTCTCTCGCGCGGCACTGGGACAGCAGCGTGCTCAAGGAGGCTTTGCTTTCCCTTCAGTGTCCATACGCTGTCGGCTGCTGGCACTGCGTTTCCTTTTGCACCTAGTGCAAGGGGAGGAATCTCCCGCACGAACGCTTGCATACTACTTTCTGGGTACTCACCTTCGCCATTTGATGCCTAATGTGCAACTTAACAGGGGGCCACAGTCAATAACACTTCCTGCGTTTTATGCAACAACTGTTGCATTTTTTCGCCATGTCAAGTCGACCTGTCCTGGCATAGACGTTTTGAACAACTACATAGTTGAGACAACTGCTGCTTTGTTGCTTCCGTTGGTCCCGCCAGCCCGCCGTGCTCGCTCTAGACGGGTGTCTTGGAGCTCCTTAACGGCTTCTTTCTGCCTGGACACCTTCGGGACTTCATGTGGCGCCTGGGATGGGGTGTACTTCCCACTCTCGACCGCCTCGAAAGGTGGAGAATAGTCCAGTCAGCAACATGTCCGAACTGCTCCCTTCGGGAAACAAATCAGCATTTTCTGAGGCATTGTATGATTGCTCGCGTTTTTTGGAGAGCCGTACATGCTGGATTTCACTGCCTCAGAGTAAATCGCTTCGTTTCTTCTGGGCGTTGTTCGCGAGGCCGCTTCGCTTGTCTTCTCATTGTTGCCGGCGCTTTCTGCCTCTGGCGCAACCGCTGCGAGGCGGTTGCAGCGGGCCGCCGCCGCCGCGCGCTCTACCCGATCCGAGAACGATTGTACTCGGAGCTGCTGTCTGTTTTGTCGGAGGAGCTCTTCTTCCTCGGTGAAGAGGAATTTCTTCGGCACTGGTCTTGCCCTTTTGTGTCGGTCTATGACGGACGAGTGAAACTTGTCTTTCGGCCGGCCTGGTATTGGTAGGCTGATCTGTCGATGTGCCGGCAGAAATGGCATGCCAACATGTAAATATGCAAAATGTACATATTTATGTTTTATTTGTCTCTTGTTTACCTTGAAGTATTTTGTGGTTGTGTTTGTGTGAACCATCGAAGGTACATGTTTTTTCAACGTCATCTCATATCCATGTTCATGTAAATGACGTCTGTCTTGTCATCATCGTTAGAGTATGTCTAAGACGGAAATGTTCTGTTGAGTGTTATTGACGTTTGTGGCAATAAATTTTTTCTAAACAAAGCGAGAACTTCTCTACCGTTTGGTGTACGAAGGGTCGGCTTTCAGCCTTCCCATAGTAGAGTGCCGAGTACTCAAAATCGTTAACAACTTTTTCTGAACACAAAGCGAGACGCTCCTAGAATGAGGATTTGTGTGTAAGGTAGTGGCCTCACCTAATGTGAGGCCCACGGGATGGCTTTAGGCTCTCCCATAGTCGAGTACTAAGTACTCCAAATCGTTAACCACTTATTCTAAACACACAGGGTCTGCTGGCGTGTCGTGGAGACACGGAATGGCTTTATGCTCGCTCATAGTAGAGTACCAAGTATTCTAAATTGTTACCCCTTTTTTCTAAAAGGCCCTGTCTTTGTAGACAGTGAAATGATCTATTGCATCCGGAAAAGAAGATGCAGTGAATATTTTGCAGTTCATACGCAAGCACGAATGGCTTGAAACCTCTTTATATAGCTATGTTGTGGATTATTACCGAAATGAGCGATGTTGTCAGCATATCCACGGAGTAAGCACTGTATATAAACTTGGTTCCTCCAAATGTAGAACGTATATCTCCACTGATGCTGAAGTAGCATGAATATGCACTTGCGCCATATGAATGGATTGGTTGCAGAAACCCTAGAACTTGTCTGATAATGTTTGTTCATTTGTTTCATGCGTACTTGAGGTCCACATCGAAGGCCCTGGCCAGCGTCGGCAGGTCGTTGACGGACGTGTCCTCTGGTGGCCTGGCACGCAGCTGTATGCGATTGTTGAGCGTGAAGTAGGGCCGGAACACGGTGGGACGGGAGCAGGCGTGACGCAACACGTGTTTCTGCGCAAGGTGCACGTAGAAGACGGTGTCACATGATTTTGCTCGCCATGACCTAAAGTCACACACACACACACACACACACACACACACACACACACACACACACACACACACACACACACACACACACACACACACACACACACACACACACCACACGCGCACGCACGCACGCACGCACGCACACACACACGCACGCACGCACACGCACACACACACACACACACACACACACACACACACACACACGCACGCGCGCGCGCGCACAACATATACAGGGAGAGAATGATAAGTGGGGTGAGCGGCCGTTCGTCTGTCTATCTGTATGAATGTCTGTGGATATGCTGGACTGGCTACTTCACCGGAAGGACGCGTGGTTGCCTTAGACCATAAGGAGCTTCGCCCCTAAAAACGCCTATAGAGGAATAACAGTGCCGAATGAATCAACATGTTATCAACACCAGCGGGCGTATTTCACCTGATGACCCAGGTTGCCACTGAAAGCAGCAGATACGCTGAAATGAAGAAGCACAGAGCAGTGTCGTTTCTTGTTGAATGATGTGGATTCGAACCGCTGAGCAGTGCCGCCTACGAGTATATGTAAAGGCGTTATGAATTATTAGATGCGAAGCTGCTCTTTGACTGTGGGACGCTGTCCGTGTCTCCGTGCCCACGCGCCGCACCACGCTCCCCTCGCAGCAGGTGTTGGGGCGGTGCCAAGTAGGTCACGCCTTCCCTCGCAGTGCGCGGTGACGTCACTCTCTCCCTCGCCTGCCGCGCGTACGCTGCGTGTCACCTCTCTCTCGCTTCATCCTCTCCACCGCTCGCAACGTTCGAGCGCATATCAAGTGAACACTCTTTCGGTTCGTTTATCCTCGACGGAGAGGACGCTAGAAAGTGAAGCTCCTTCGCCCGCCGAAACGATCGCTGAAGCAACTTGGCCGCCGTCGACGGTGTTGCGAGGGTTAGCAAAGCTGATAGCGTTCGCGAATGGCGAGCAATGACCCGCGGTTATCTTGCCTCCACACTACGTTGCCTTCCCATGTCCATTCATTATATACACCGCTATATACCGTAACACGCACTCACTTCTTTCAGCCTTACACCAGAGTCTGCTTTCACTCAGCATACAGTAAGCGCAGTAATCACGCTTCCTACTGTAACGACGAGGAGAAGTGTCACCTGCAAGTCTATCTTTGCGCATTGTATGTGCATGGCGTTGGCGATCTGCTCGGCCGTCGGCCCCGCTGCCATGGAGTACAGAAGCGCCAGCGTGGTCTCAACGACAAGTGGCGAGAAGACGACGTTGCTCGTCGGCTCCCTCCTCGACTCGACCAGGTTCTGCAGCAGTTCGACCATGAACTGCGCGATGCTACTCCGCAGCACCGCTGGATCGGGCTCCGATCTGTTGTTTAGTGAAAGAATGGTTCGGGGTCAACGGAACACAAAGTGTAAAGAAACTTGGTTCCTTCAAATGTAGAACCCTGCACGGGCTTATTTATGATAGCGCATACATCAGCGTACTTGCTAATTCGTCGTAGTGTTGAATTCTAAACGAAGTGAAGTTTGAGTAAGCTATGCAGCACCAGCGGATGATATGAGCGCACAGGTTAGGTGCACATCTTGCTGTATATACTGGCCTTACGGAAAGCGGGCTCGCTATAGAGTAAGCTACACATAGGTCGAGATACCCCACAGCTGGAGCTCACAGATTTCATAGTCACGAAGCGTTAGTGGTCGATTAAGTGTGCCATTGGACGTGGGTAAGCACGCAAGGGAAGGCCACTTGGTGCGTGTACGTGCGAACATTGGTGCAATACTTCAATTCGGCGTAGACGTCACCAATTCATCTTAATGGATTCACGTAAGTGCACAAAGCCAAATAAGAAACACACATGGGCGAGCGATATCTAACTGTCTTTTGTTAATATTCACTTAACAACTCTTTTATCTGTGCAATCTGGTCGAAAGAAAAAAAAAGAAACCTCACGAATAACTCACATGGCACACATTGTGATTACATGCACTAATCCGCAGATGACAAGAGCGAAATTTCTTTCTGAAGCAAGGTAACAGAGAAGTGGCAAGCACAACTTTCTTTTTGTTTGTAAATGTGAAAGGCCTCCACTACATCCGTTTAAATTTCGTTGCGATGCCCACGTGTAATGACGGTGCGGCTAAAACACCCTCTGTTCCCTTGCTCGAGAAAGAAATTCCGCTCTGGTGTTTGTACATCAGGACATGTGATCACTATTTTCGCCATGCGCGCTTTCCATAAGTCTTTTAGACCAGATCTCCGTGATTGGGAGACTAAGTAAATATAAATAAAGCGTGGCTGGTGCCCCTATTTAGTGATCGGTATGACACGAAAGTGAAACGTGTTTTTACAGAAGTAGTTGAGCGTTTATGATGCACTGTCTCAGCAAGAGCAGCAAATCGCAAAATCACGTTAGGAACGGCAAGCAGCTCAAAACCTGCCACGCGCACCTAAGCAGAAAGCAAGCACGAAATTAGCCTGCACATGGTGAGCGCGGACTAACAACTGTCACAGCTCGACACTTAAAGCGCGCTGTTCAAACAGAAAGAAAGACGCATGGAATGGGTGCCCAAGTATACACAGGGCAAGCGCAAATAATAGCTACAATTCTTCCTGCGTCGTGTGTCAGCAGCGTGCTTCTTTCCTAAACGCGGCCGTGGCTGCGTGCGAAGTGACCTTCGTCTTCCCGAATTACGAGTCTGATAAACGCGCGCAAAAAAGACTACGCTCCGTGGAAGCGTCGCTACATGGTGGCGACGACTTTTACCGCACTCCTAACGTGAGCACGTCGCCCCATGTCGCCACTGATATAAAAAAAAAGACGCTAAAGTTTCGATGCTATGCCAGACGGTGTATTGTGCATAAAAAATGGCTTGCTGCTAGCATTCCAGGCTATTTACGCTCTGTGGTGTAGTGGTTAGCGCCACGTGCTGAGAATTGAGAGGTTGCTGGTTCTATTCCGCGTAATAGATGGTTCCCTTTTATGTTATGTCTTCTTTGCAATGCTTTAGAATATATTTTTTCAACGTCACTTCCCTGACAGAAGTACGTCAGTAGAACCGTGGTGGACCTCGGCATAGAACACTTTCGCGTTGAATAAAATTGTTGGATTGCGCACGTCCACGTGTTCACTTCGTTGTCTCCGTGCAATTCGGCAAATCCGTTAAGAGTGAAAATCGGTGGTCATTATAGAAAATCTAAGACGAAGTTCGGATGTGATGCTATATAGCGTGGCCGAGCTATGCCTTACTGCTGACAGACGCTGCCGTCGAAGGCGGTCTGTCACCGGATTTTGCGGTGGCAAGGTGAAGTGCGCGCGTGCGCTCCCAATTCGTCCCAGATCAATGATAGTCAGCAATGGTTACATAGTGACTCATGATGCAGACTGAGAGCTCTGCGCGTGCGCGGAAACGGGGGTGGCAGTGTTGTGGTGAATGTATAGTGCCGTAGGAATTCCCATACGATAAGAGCAGCAGAGCCCCTGGACGTTGTTTTGGAAGCCTTGTGGACGTGCGTATACGAAAGTGAGTAAGCATCACTGCGTGTGAATTGACGTAGCAAATGCGTAAGTGGTTGCCGGTCAGCGATGGCGAACGCGACTGTTGCCTTAAATGAATGGCGTTGAACTCGTGCACGGAAATGACTACGAATGTACTTCAAAGTTTAGCTGTGCCGGCACGTGCGTTGCGGCCAGCGCATGGCACGGCCCTTAGCGGCAGTAGTCGAGGCGGTGAGCGGCAACGCGCGAACGCGAGCTCGTTTCACATGCGCCGCTTTTGATGGATGCCCGCCGCTCTGGTGGGTAGTGTTTGCCGCACTACCGAGTCGGAGCTACCGAGTCGGCGCGCACGACAGTCTCAGTCAGAGCCGCACGTTTGGTTTCCAAGATAGCTGCCAGATAACGCTCACGTCTCACGTGTGACGTGACTTGATGCGCTCGTTCGCCTCCGCTGCACGCTCGAGGCACTCTAATGCAGTGCCTCCAAAATTCCATTCACCGATTTTCTTATGTAGAACACCAAATAAATGTTTTGTTCACTCTCTCCACACGCAAAACTATCGTCTTTCGACGACATTTGCAGATTACATGCAGATACGGGGCCATTTTTTTAAAGTCCTCCTTCATCGGAGCGAGATTCTTCCGAAGCTCTCGCGTGTGCCTGCTTCTCGACCCCGCTCCTTTCGTCACGTGCACTCCCCCCCCCCCCCCACCCCCACTGCTTCCCCCAAAGGTCAGATGCTGTACTGCAAGCGAATTTTGCGAACACAGGCTATGTTCACCGCAGTCTCCAGTAGACGCTCTAAAAACCTGTTTTGAACTCGTGCGACAGCTAGCGTTCCTGTCTTGGGGCAAAATCACTCGCATGTGGAATAGGCTTGATGTTTTCGGTATTTGCACAGGCTGTTTGGGGTTTGTTTAGGCTGACAGAAAGATAGCAACGTAGTATAACTCTCACACTCCGACGCAGTCGGTGGGCCCTTCTACGCCGATGAGGGCGAAGCGATAGCTGTCTGACAAGGTCGAGGAGCTGTCGTTCTCATCGCGTGCTTCGTACAGGTTTCGGGCGGTAGAGGCCGACGTGTCGTCCTCTTCGTCGCCTACACCACTGCCGTCGTAGTCGCTGGGTCGCCTTCGGCCGAGCTTGCGTAGGTGTCGATACATCCTTCCCTGGTGATCATTTGAGGTAAAACGCGTTTTGTGAAACAAATACTGAGAGATAATCTGACTCTAGTGAAGTAACCTATAGAAATATTAACATTGATACTAATTGGGGTTTTACGTCCCAAAACCAATAAGTGTTTGTGAGAGACGCCACAGTAGAGGACTCCGGAAATTTCGACCATCTGGTTTTCCTGAACGCGATCTGTCATGGCATGGTACACAGGCCAATTCACCTCCATCAAAATGCGATCACCATGGCCGGGATTGAACACGTGACCTATGGGTCTGCAGCTGAGTAAGCAGCATATGTAAGGTGAAAGCGTTACATATGTCGCTTTCGCCTTACATATGTCGCCTAATAAAACATGTCGATTCGTGCTGTACGAAAAGGTAATGACGCGACGCAAGTCAAAGAAAACAAGATTTCCTACAAGAAAAAGCGTACAGAAGTGAGCGTTCTTGCCTGTAATTGTTTTCTTCGCCTTGCGTAGAGTCATTACCTCATGCACAGATAGGTTGCAGCGCGACAAGTGAAGATCGCTGTCAACACGTCTGGCTAAAAGAAAAAAAAAATCACCGTCGTGGGATGACGTTGCTATATGACGTATGCATGACGTCACAGGTCGCCAATGTTTGGCATGTCACCTCGAGGTCCCTGTGACGTCATGTTGACATGGCATCACATCACACCATCGCTTGGTGTTAAAGGTGGACTGATCTCGAAAGTAGCGAGAAACCCCGTTGAATGGAAAAAAGCTTTCAATGGAGATATCAACACACCTGGCTAAATAAACGAAGTAGTTGGCTTTCACCATCGATTCGTCGCAGGCGATCGCTTAAAGAACCACGTTACCTTCGCGCCAAAGCATAAACTAGGCATTGTAATGATCAAATTCGAGCCAGGTCACATTTAGTGCGAACCATGAGATGCCCTCGTATGCCGATTGAAGTATAATAAGTATTGCCGTGCGTGTCCTGAAGGACCATTGCCAAATTGTTTAGTGCTTGTTACGTTATGCCAACTCATTCCTCCCTTTAGTCCAACAGAAACCTTGAAGTTTTTTTTTTTCGCATCAACGAGAGATCTACAGATAGGGCCCTTTCGTCCTAAAAAATAGACTAAGGGCGCTGCTTTACTCAAGGTAGATTGTCGATGCCTTCGATGGGAGCCATGATCGCGTACTCAGGTGCCGTGAAAGCCCATCGGAGTGCACAAAATAAGGTTGAGTTGATTAATGGAACAAAAATGGGAGTCGGTCACAAACTGCTGCTGATGCTGAAATACATACCCGGTAAGCCTTCTTCTTGTGCTGAGGGCACGACACGTTAGAGTTGATGATGATGATAGTCCTTGCGGAATTGATATAGGCTAGCGGATGCTACTGTCTTTTTGATGATGATGATAACAATTGCCCTCGCACAATGGCGCTAATCTTGAATGGCTTATTAGTGGCACGAGCAAGAAAGGACATCCTCGTTTTTTTTTCCAAGCACTCGTGGTCGAAACCTTAGCTTCGGTTTTCTGAACACTCAGAAGGGACTCCCACGTAGCTTCTATGTGAGAAGCGTCAGCGTACTGTGGGCACGTCCATGCCATGTGTATGAGGGTGGCAGATTGTGAGCAGTATTTACAGTGTGGTGTCACCAGGTGTGGGTATACCTTGCTATAAAGCCAAGGGTTGGGAGAGACACCTGTCTGATGCTTGCGCCCCAGGACAGCATCACGTCGAGGGAATTGTCACGCCGGGTAATCTTACGCGCATTGGAGGCCGCGGTGTCCGAAGGGATATCCGCTGACCTCCTCTAAACAGCGTAACCGACCTCTCGGCCGGTCCCCTCTTTTGGGAGTTGTATAGCTTTGATCATCATCTGAACGCTGAGAAACTGCATTGAAACAAATAAAAAAACTGGCAGATCACACATGCAGAGAGGATTGATAATATGCGAAGTACGAATGAAGAAGGCTGATATGACATTTTAAAATCAGCACAGCGTACTCGATATTTTTTTAGAGTGTAGAGGGGGTGATAGCGTGTCAGTGGTTAACGCCTCACACTTACGACTCGGAGGTCCCACGTTCGATTCTTCGCGCCGGTGTCCTTTTTTTTTGTTTTTGAAGGGGGACGGTATTCGTTCTGGCGTTTTCATACATATAGATACGTATACATATACGGCGCATGACATCGACGCCGGCGGCAAAATCCAGCCGAGAGTGTCCATATAATTGCTATCACAATACAAGTCGTAAGTGGCTAGATAGATAGATAGATAGATAGATAGATAGATGGATAGATAGATAGATAGATAGATAGATAGATAGATAGATAGATAGATAGATAGATAGATAGATGTAGCGTGCCGATACAGACGAACACATATCCTTGTCCATTTATACGTTCAATATTTATAGAACGAATAGACCCAGGCCGTCCGCCCTGTGGACATACAAGGTGCACACTTCAGCACATGCTGTGGCAGTGTCACGACTTGCGCTGGGCCTCGGGTCTCCCTCTACAAAGAATGACTTGCTACGGCTCTTAACTGATTCCGCAAAGAACCAGCAGCTTAGGGCTGTCCAGGGATTTCGCAAAGCTGCCGAGAGCCTGATTCTTCCGGAGCCATCGTGGGTGCGGCCCGCTGACGGTACCTCCTGACGAGGGCACTCTCGTCTTCTGAGGACCAAATTGAGTTCTTCGACCGACCGACCGACCGACCGACCGACCGACCGACTGACTGACTGACTGAGGGAGCTGCATATATATCGCACTTTTGACGAGTGCGTCACGCCGGGACGCAGTCGTCTTGGTTGCGAAACAGCGGCGATGCGAAGAGGACGCATGTTCTCACTTCGCTCAATCGAATTCACAAGTGAAGCGAAACATTGTTTCTTAGCGAAATGTGTTTTCTAGGTTCCGCTGTTCGCAAGATTGTTTTGCACTCGCGCATTGCTGTTCCTTCTACGCATGTGTAAATCGCGATTATAGTGTACTAGAATACTGTGGTACACTATAGTCGCTAGCATATGCATGCCTGACCGGAACAAATCGTAAACGCTCAGCCAAGAGGGAGACAATTGATTTATGGCGAGGCGGAGAGGTCGGCCTGAACTACACTCTGATTCAGCCTGCTACTCTACACTGGGGAGGGCTGATAGGGGGTCGATTATGAGTTATGAAAGAGGATGGTAAGGTAGGCAGATGATAATCTGGTTCTGTTACCCTGGGACAACTCAGAAGACGTGCATCCAGTCCAGTGGCTTATAAGAAATCTACGACGGCTCCTGGGGATTCGCTCGCAGGATTTCAAGCTGGACGGTTGTGCCCTCGCGATCTCCGACATCAGCGTAGCTCCCGCCGACTGGTTCGCCCTCCGCGGTCTCCTGACGCCGTGCAGCTCTCGCATTGTGGCACCCCGCCCTTGGACTGCTTCGACCGGATCCCCACTTTCCTATCACCTTCTTTTTCTCTCGCTTGGCTGTCTTCTTCTCCGTCTATTTTCCTTCTATTCTTTTTATCCCTCCTTCCCCACATCCCTATAAGGCACTGCGCCGTGTCGCCTGAAGGCAGACAGAAATTAGGTGCCTTTTTCCTCTTCATTCTAACCACTACCACCACCTACGACGGCTCCTACTACCTCATATTTTCTGCTGACGTCAGGCTAAGGACCAAACACTACCACATTGGTTAATGGTGCACTAAGATATCGTACAATTGAATGCTGACGTTGTCTTGCGTACGCTACAGACAGGCGTTTCTGGCAAGTGACAGTGGCTTCATTCGGGACTTGTGATATCGCAGCCGCTCAGCTAGATAAATGCAGTAACTATATTATATCCCAGGCCAGACAACTCGGTGCATATGTTTTCGAAGTGGAGCACAAGATTAAAGAGAAGAAGAAGAGGACAGAGAGGTCACGTGCAGGTTCATGATGGTGGTGGTATTTTCGCCAACAGACAAATTACAGCAAGCCCAAACAGTTTCAATGTTAAAAACATTACCAAGGGCGCAGCCACAAAATTTCAGGAGCGAAGCTCCTTAGACTTTCCCGATGTCAACTGCAGCCGTCGCTGTCGTAGCTTCGCGTCGGACCGAAACGCTGGTAATTTATACACCTAGACCGTTCATAGCGCGAATATCGTTTGAACATAGACCGTACCTTGTCTGTCTATCTGTCCGTCCGACTGTCCGTGCATCTGTCCGTTCATCCGTACGTCCGTCTGTCCATCCGTCTACCTGTCCGCCCGCGCATCTCTCTGTTCCTCCGTCTGTCCGTCCATCTGTCCATCCGTCCATCTATCGGAGCGTGGGCCCTGCCTCCCAATGCATACATATATCTTCCCGCCCGTGTATCTGTCCGTCCTTTATACTAGTCGGTGACTTTAACATAGACATTAAGGGCCTCAGGACGTAGCTTTGCTCCATAATCAACATTGGCTTCGTGGATCGGCCGCCATTTTTTCTTCTTTGCATGTATAGCGCTCGGTATGGGGTTCGATACAGTGGCAATCTACAGTCTTTGGGCGCTTCTCTGAACCGCTTTCCTGGGCTTGCCGTAGAATCGCTTGCCGGGGCGCTTGTCTTGTGAACGGCAGCCGCGCCAACTGCTTTCCGTTCACACCGGAAGTACTGTGAGCTGGCAAATACAAGCACTACACATATTATTAATTGATTGTTCGTCGTTACGATTCATAATATTTTGTACCGCGTAACGATGATATCCAAATGTTAAACGAAATTTACCAACACGCTCGAGCGTTTGAAATGAAACCAGCCAAACAATTGCGGGTCTGTTTCATGAGGTGGTCGAATGTCAACATTCGCGAGGACCGATATGCATAAAACACCTACCGTTAAATTCCAGACTGGCTGTGATGGCGCCCTCCTACAGTTGAGCACATAGATATTATATATCGTCAACCATTTTCACGAACACACATTCGCGGCCGGTCCCGTCAAGTGTACCGCGGTAAAATTTTCTGCCTCGCAGGAGGCATAGATCGGCGCATATGAAATGCAAGGAATTAAACCAGCAACTTTTCACAACACAGACTATTGTTTTTGTTTTGGAGAGGGGGTCAACCATACCTTATGTACGTTCGTGCGTGCGTATATATGTGTGCGTGTGTATATACGCAATAAAAATTTTTAAAAAATTCAGAGGGTTTGAATCTCCCCCTGCACCCATAGCTTCGCCCATGTTTAATGTTTAGGTGCTTGCTGTTGAACCTCCCAGTCCGGAAGACCATTGGCTCTGGCCGCCGTGTGAACTAGGTCGACCAAGGCATGTTGCTGAGCTCAGTCAGAGCTGAACAGGGTTGTCTCCCACTCGACTACTGTTGAGTTATCTTTTGCCAATATATTGGCATTGTCTTGGAAAAACTCCAGCACTACATATGGAATAAGGTGAGCGTCTTTGGAGAGAATTTACACATCGGTTTGTACTACAAACAATTTATCTGGAACAAGACATAATGACTTGGAAATGATGATTATGAGCATCTAGGATGGTCGTGGCTCTGGCGGGGCAACCTAAAGCATACTCTTCTTTCTCCTTGACCTCAGCGATCGGTTTCGGCAGTGCGACGAATCACAAAGATGTCATACGAATGAAGACGTACGAGTCTTACTGCCAGACAGCTAAGTCAAGGTCGAGTGTCCCTTCTAGATATCTCATTGTTCGCTGTTTGAGAAACTCGAAATATCACCATTCACAAATGCCAATGCTAAGCCTAATGAGGCAACGTTGACACGAGTACGTTCAATTTCAGCAGTTGTGCATTGATGAGGATTTTAGTTCCTGGTCAAATGGTGTTGACGACAACTGCAACATAAAATTGTTAATTGCTCTAAAGGTGATTTTATATCAGACGACAAAACTTTATTCGGTCTTCGAGGTGGACGACGCAGGGTTGCTTGCGAGTGGAGTGAAGAGCGGGTACTTTTATGTCTGCGCAGAGAGTAGGTCCATTGCTTAGCGTAGCTGAAAGAAAAAGAGATACACAAAAAAGAACGGACTTAATATACAGCAATGAAGATGCAGTTTACAAAGTACAACATTTAGTTTCATTGGTGTGGTAAAAGTGAGCAAAAGGAAGCACGAGGCTGTACTAGCAAAGCTACGTTAAACGAACGTGCTTTCATGTTGAGTATTTTAGGTGCTTGAAACGAAAAAAAAAGACCATGCACTTATTCCCAGCTCATGGACGAATAAGTCTGTCTGTCTGTCTGTCTGTCTATCTATCTATCTATCTATCTATCTATCTATCTATCTATCTATCTATCTATCTATCTATCTATCTATCTATCTATCTATCTATCTATCTATCTATCTATCTATCTATCTATCTATCTATCTATCTATCTATCTATCTATCTATCTATCTATCTACTATCTATCTATCTATCTATCTATCTATCTATATATATATATATATATATATATATATATATATATATATATATATATATATATGTATTTATCTATTTATGTGTCTGTCTGTCTGTCTGTCTGTAGCGCCTCAATGCGCCGCTCGTCAAGGAAGAAGTAGTTGGCATTTGGGCCGCGCGGTTGGTGCAGCGCTATAATAAAAAAAAATCAGTTCGAAAACTGAACGCTGTCAGCCAACAGACCAGGCAGTGGCATCTGGTATCCTGCTTACCTCCGGATGTAGCCGACGACTTAGCTGATATTTTAGCGCCGCCGCACCCGAGCCATACCTACGACACGTTGAAGGCAGCTATCATTTCCCGAAAATCTGAGTCCGAACACAGCAGACTCCAAGAGCTCATCACGGATAGAGAGCTCGGTGACCGTCGCCCATCAGAGCTCCTGCGATGCATGCGCCAGCACCTTGGCGGCCCCTCCGCCTTTCAAGAAGAGAAGCTGTTACGTGAATTGTTCCTCCAGCGCTAACCGCAGAGCATGGTCGCGGTCCTCGTAGCTGCAGGAGATGTCCCAGTAGACACACTCGCTGAAATGGCTGACCGAGTGGCGGACTACTCGCGGGCACATATCCTCAACGCCGTTACCACGCCGCCACCGGCCTCCGCTGCAGATTCGGCGCTCGCGAGCATCGAGAACCGTTTGGACGCCCTTGTCAGGCGCCTCGATGACTTTGTACCTGCGCATCGTCGAACGTCATCCAGGTTCCAGATACACAGTCGCTCCTCGACGCCCCCACGTTCTCCGGAACTTCGGCCACCCGACGCGCCGCGGGACGTTTCATCCTCAACCGTGTGCTGGTACCACCGCCGATTCGGTGCCTCTGCTGGCAAGTGCACTCGCCCGTGCTGCTGGTCGAGAAATGCGACGACCGGCCACTGACGGCGGCAAGTGGTACTGGTCGAAAGTCATGCCGCCTTTTCTATGTTTCTGATAAGATCACTGGCGCTTGCTTCCTAGTCGACACACGAGCCCAGGTTAGCGTCATCCCGGCCTCGTGTGCAGATCGCCGTCGCAACGAACAGACCTGCCCACTCCAAGCGATCAACAATTCCGCCATTCGCACATACGGCCAACGCTCTCTTACACTTGACCTTGGACTACGCCATACGTTCCGCTGGATTTTCATCCTCGCTGACGTCTCGCAAGCTGTTCTTGGAGCTGAATTCTTCAGTTTTTTCAACCTTGCTGTTGACATGCATGCTCATCGCCTCATTGATCTCAACACCCGCCTCTCCATCAATGGTGTGCCCTGTATTTCCTCGCCAACGGGACTGCGAGCTCTCACAGCTGCTTCGCCGTATGCAAAAATACTCGACGACTTTCCCAGCATCACGAAGCCGCGCACCAGAGAGTCACCAGTGGAGCATTCCATCACTCACCACATTGTGACCACTGGACCTCCCGTTTTTACACGACCCCGTCGACTATCTAGAGAACGCCTCGCCACCGCACGCCGTGAGTTTGAGCACATGCTTGAACTCGGCATTGTGCGGCCTTCCTCCAGCAACTGGGCGTCGTTACTCCACATGGTGCCGAAGAAAGATCCTGGCGACTGGAGACCATGTGGGGATTACCGCGCTCTCAATTCTCACACCTTACCAGACCGCTATACACTTCCTCACATACAGGATTTCACATCAAATTTGGCTGGGTGCACAATCTTCTCTAGGATTGACTTAGTGAAGGCTTACCATCAGATTCTTGTAGAACCCGCCGACATTCCGAAGACTGCCATCACCACCCCATTCGGTCTGTTTGATTATGTGAGGATGCCTTTTGGATTGCGCAACTCTGCACAGACCTTTTAGCGCACTATCAACGAGGTCACGCGAGGTCTCGATTTCGTATTTGCCTACCTTGATGACCTTCTTGTAGCAAGCTCATCCGGCCCTGAGCATGAAGCCCACCTGCGCACCCTGTTCCACAGCCTGGATGATTATGGCCTCGTAATTAATCCCAATAAGTGCCTCTTCGGCGTCGCTACAATAGAGTTCCTAGGCCACATTGTCACTCCAAAGGGTATCCAACCACTCGCCAGCAATGTGAAGGCTATTCAAGACTTTCCACCACCGACTTCACTGAAGAGACTCCGAGGATTTCTGGGCCTACTAAACTTCCATCGCCGCTTTCTTCCAAAGTGCGCCACATTCCTAAAGCCCTTGACCGACCTATTGGCTAAAAAGAAAGACCCGGCTGCGCCACTGGAGTGGCCCAAGGACGCTGCATCTGCCTTCGGCACTGCCAAGAAGGCTCTGGCAGACGCTACCATGCTCATACATCCCATCCCTGATGCCCCAATTCGTCTCATCACCGATGCATCAAGCGTGGCAGTTGGCGCCGTTCTCGAGCAGCACGTATCCGGTTGGCAGCCCCTAGGGTTTTTCTCGCAAAAACTGAAGCCACTAGAGACAAAATACAGCACATTTGCCCGAGAACTCCTCGCGGTATACCTCGCCATCAAACATTTTCGTCATTTATTGGAGGGCCGGGACTTTTACGTCGTTACAGACCACAAGCTCCTGACGTTTGCCTTCCATCGCAATCACAGCAATTATACTGCACGGGAGATCCGCCAACTATGCTTTAGTTCCGAGTTCACAGTGGATCTCAGACACGTACATGGGCCGGAAAATGCTGCAGCTGATGCACTATCCCGCATCGATGCCTTGTCGACCCAGCCACCATTAGACATGGAAGAGCTAGCAGCTGCCCAACAGACAGACAGACAAAGAACTTTATTCAGGTCCTGAGGAACTGCGTTGTAACGGCCCCGTTTAGGGGGAATCCGTAGCAGTCGCGGGCCGCTCCGACGTAGGGACCAGAAGACCGTGGCCCTCCGCCCTCTCGCAGGCCCTCTGGACAGCCCGAAGTTGAACCAAGAGGTCACCGCTGTTAAGGGCTTCCTCCCAGTCCTCTTCTTTGTTGAACTCTGCGTCACGTAACGCAGGACATTGCCAGAGCATATGAGTTAACGATCCAAAGCAACGATCCTGAGCTGCATCGTCTTCGCTCTTCATCCACGTCTCTATCGTTCACGGAGTGCCCGCTTCCATTTTCTACCTCATTAATAACGTGCGAAAGGTCTACTGGTGTCCCTCGACCCTTCATGCCTTCAGCTTTTCGTCGTTTGATCCTGGTATTCGTGCGACCCAGAAGCTAGTCACATCTCGTTTCCTTTGGCCAAGCATCAATGCTGATGTCCGACGCTGGGCGCGAACCTGCCTTGACTGCCAGCGCGTTAAAGTTCATCGTCACACTGTCACGGCAACATCCCCGTTTCGGCCTCCAGACGCAAGGTTTTCTCACGTCCACCTCGACATCGTCGGTCCTCTTCCGACATCGCAAGGAGCCTGTTACCTGCTGACATGTGTGAATCACTTCACCAGATGGCAGGAAGCGTTTTCCATTTCCGACATTACAGCACCAACAGTTGCCAAGGCTTTCACAAACGGCTGGGTGTCGCGCTTTGGATGCCCTTCTGTCGTCACCACTGATCGCGGTCGTCAGTTTCAATCGGCCCTTTTCACCGCACTTGCCAATATCCTGGGCATTCGACACATCCACACAACTGCCTACCATCCTTCTGCCAATGGCATGATCGAACGGCTTCATCGACAACTGAAAGCTGCCCTCACCACTCAGCAGCCAAGGGAACGATGGCTCGACCACCTCCCCTTCGTACTTCTGGGCATCCGATTAGCATTGAAAGTGGATCTCGGCTGCTCATCAGCCGAACTAGTCTATGGCGTTTCCCTGCGTCTTCCAGGAGAATTCTTCGAGCCATCATCGCCACCTTTCACTCACGATGACTCCACGTACATTCGAGAGTTGCGCACCACGTTTCGGGACCTTGCTCCTGTGATTCGTGCCGACCGACACCCCCAGTATGTCTTTGTTAGTCAGGATCTGCATGACTGCAGTCACGTCTTCGTTCAGCGTGACCAAATACGGCCACCACTACACCAGCCTATGATGGCCCATTCCGCGTACTCCATCGTACACCTAAGACGTTCACGCTGGACATCAATGGCCGTGAAGACGTCGTGGCTGCTGATCGACTGAAACCTGCGTATATCGCCGCTCTCGCGGCCGCGGGGTTTCAATCTAAAGTCCAAATGCCAACATCCAAGCATGTCCACTGGGCGACTCCTCTGGTGATTCCTACGGCTTTCGCTCTACGAGGGGGAGCCCTGTAGCGCTTCAATGCGCCGCTCGTCAAGGAAGAAGTTGGCATTTGGGCCGCGCGGCAAGTGCAGCGCGATAATAAAAAAAAGGAGTTCGAATACTCAACGCTGTCAGGGCTGGATCTTTCTCGTGTTAGCTCCGACATATATATCTATCTATCTATCTATCTATCTATCTATCTATCTATCTATCTATCTATCTATCTATCTATCTATCTATCTATCTATCTATCTATCTATCTATCTATCTATCTATCTATCTATCTATCTATCTATCTATCTATCTATCTATCTATCTATCTATCTATCTGTCTATCTGTCTATCTATCTATCTGTCTATCTGTCTATCTGTCTGTCTGTCTGTCTATCTGTCTATCTGTCTGTCTGTCTGTCTGTCTGTCTGTCTGTCTGTCTGTCTGTCTGTCTGTCTGTCTGTGTGTGTGTGTGTGTCTGTCTGTGTGTCTGTCTGTCTGTCTGTGTGTCTGTCTGTGTGTCTGTCTGTGTGTCTGTCTGTCCGTCTGTCTGTGTGTCTGTCTGTGTGTCTGTCTGTCCGTCTGTCTGTGTGTCTGTCTGTGTGTGTCTGTCTGTCTGTCTGTGTGTGTGTGTGTCTGTCTGTCTGTGTGTGTGTGTGTCTGTCTGTCTGTCTGTCTGTCTGTCTGTCTGTCTGTCTGTCTGTCTGTCTGTCTGTCTGTCTGTCTGTCTGTGACGTGTACTTCGCAGCGACATGGCTAGATGGCACAGCTTGTCCCAACAGCAGTGGGAGGCTCTCGTAGGATTTCGGCTGCCGTATACGCCATTCTCTATAAAACTGAATTGGTACACACCGCATACCTAACGCGTTTAAGTGTGGAAACGCGGCAAGTGGCTAACTTGGTTTACTCTAAATAGCATTGAGTGGAAACTCCAATGACGTAGCTTCTGCCACCATTCTACGCACTACAAAAAATGCAGTCAACTGAACATATAATGTGACTTTCAAATTACGTAACGATATTTGTCTGGCTTTACCATTTGTGCTTCATTATCGATTCATAAAATTGGCATAATGCTTTTAATATCTAGGATTGCTCTCTACTTTGGGTACGGGCCCAATATGTTTTGTATCTTTCTCCTCTCCCCATCATCATTATCGTAATCAAAAGAAGTAGATTGCAAGCTCACCTAAGACAGCAGAACGCTGTCTTGAGCCTATAGATGCCTAGTGGTGCCTGTGAATAGTAAAAACATGTGCCAACAGTAATATTTTTTTTGCAAAATAAGAAATGAATTATAAATGTTGAAGTGTAACACAAAGTGTAACATCGGGTGCACGTGCTATATTTAGGCAAAACAAATACCTTGTTCAGTCTTGTACAAGTGATTAGTGGTTGACAGCCTGTATACATAATTATGAAACGGGGCCATGAAGTAACACAAGAGCATGAACCGGGAGAAGATTAAGTAAACGCAAGGGTCGAACTCTCAAGAGAACGTTGTCTCGCCGCGGTGGTCTAGTGGCTAAGGTACTCGGTTGCTGACCCGCAGGTCGCGAGATCGAATCCCGACTGGGGCGGCTGCATTTTCGATGGAGGCGAAAATACTGTAGGCCCGTGTGCTCAGATTTGGGTGCATGTTTAAGAGCCCCAGGTGGTCGAAATTTCCGGAGCCCTCCGCTACTGCGTCTCGCATAATCATATGGTGGTTTCAGGACGTTAAACGCCACATGTTAATGAATGAATGATATCATCAATCAACAGAACATTTACAAACGTGTACCAGTGTTGTAGTCATGGGATGGCACACGGTGTCGGTGCATTGCTGGCACACCCCGAAAATTTGTCGCCGTAGCATTTAGAGCTTGACATGGCTGTCAACAATATCTTCTTGCCTGCCTTCAGTTAAAATCAAAGAGGTGCCCCCATGAGAAATATTTCTGGCTGCGCCTCTTATATGCGCAGAATATAAATATATATACGTACACGTGGTTTCCCGCAGACAACACTCTGCACCCCCCCCTAAAAATGATAAAAACAAAAAAAACACCAAAAATCAAAAGTAACTCAACTCATCCAGGTTCAATATTTCTGTCCACTGCAAGGCAACAGATAGGAAGAGGATGCATGACATTTTTTCAGGGGCGAAGCTCCTTAAGGCGTGGGTCTGTCCATCCTCCGTCGTTGTCGTACGTAGCCACCGGGATGCGAGATAGGAGAGGTACTTGCAGTGTTCACTAGATGGACGCACGGACGGACGGACAGACAGACTAGAAGGACAGATGGAAAGATGAATGGACGCGTGGATGGTCACGTGGACAGACGGAAGCAAGCAAGAACGAACGGACGGACGGAAGCACGGACGGGCTGATGGACGCTTCGCCCCACTCATCATCGTTCACTCCGTTGATATGCTGCGATTTTTTTCATTATTCATATGCCAAAACGTCGAATATATCTCAAGTCGTCGGTTAACTGATGCCTTGAAACGATGCTAGTTCAGCTGGGTGGGGCTCGCATCCACACTGCTGGCAATGCACAGCGATGTGCAATAGTCATATGGGGCTGTAGAGTTTATATTCGGACCCAATAAAGGTTTCTTCAGGCCGTAAGGTAGAATTGCGCCATGACAAGTGAAAAAAAAAACAATTTAAAAAAGGAGTAACGAATGCAGTATCATTACGTCATGTCTCGCGTGAGGGCGAAAGTTTGACACAGGGTGAGCTATATATCACACAAATTTCGGTGCACGAGAAGTATCGTCGTGTAATGAAAGAAACAGTGGGCATGCGTTGCCCCCCCCCCCCCCCCCCCCGAAAAAAAAAATGAAGCACGGGTTCAGTTGAGTTTTATTGCTCTATAGCTCACAATAACCGAATTCTTCCTAGTACGAAAAAATCACCTGACAGGTGGGGCCTGCCGCAATCGCGCAAGTGCATACTAAAATGTCTTCATATCTCGTTCGTCGTTTTTGTTGAGTAAACTTGAAAAACGAAATACTCACGGCATCGCGCAATCCAGGAAGACATGCACGAATCTCCATTTCTTTCCAATAATGATGTCAAGATCACATTGCCGGACAGGCTTTGGGAGAAAGAAAAGAGGAACAAGAGACATGTTGTGGTCATTCGCAGTTCGTTGGATGATTCTTTGTGGCGAATGAGTGTAGTCCAGCCAATTGCTTACAGTTGTCACTCTAATAACTGCCGCATTATATTTAGTAACATCGCCTATCAATTTCAGTGTGCTTAGGCCCACAGCAGGTATCAGACCTCTCCCGTTGGTCTCCAGTTCACCCTACCCTGATTCCGCACGCAACGAGGGGTCAGTTTGGCTGGGCCCAGAAGGTCGCGGGTTGGATCCCCACCGTGGCAGGTCGCATTTAGGTGATGGCAAAATGGTAGCGGTCCATGTACTGTGTGATGTAAGTGTACGTTAAAGAACAGCAAATGGTCGAAATTACCGGAACCATCCAGAACGTTGTCTGTTCTGTTCTGTTTTAACTGTTTTGCTGTGGAGAGGTTGAGGAGCCTATTGCCTCGGCTACTCCATATCACAAAGTTCTGCAGCGAAAAATAAAATAATACAGAACGGTACCCAAAAATTAACAATACGGAAAAGAAAAAAAACATACTAGCACACTGAAACCAGTTCAGATATCATGCCAATACACAGTTTTCTTCACGCAGTTCACACAGTCATAAACTACTTACACGCACACCTTACTACTCTAATGCCAGTATATATATGACCACACTTTACATAATACCCATCTCTGGCTGTCAGTCATAGGCGCTTGTCCAGGTCCGGTCTCCACTAAAAAGTCTGTCAGGAAGATTAGTGCCTTTTTATGGAGATGCATCTCAGGCGATGGTCCAAGTAGTTTCTTTATTGTGAGGGGCCGTCCGTCCAAACTTGCTAATTTGTTCTTTAATTTTACTCTTTCATTCGCGTATATAACGCACTCCAAAAGAGTATGGCGAACATTTCTTCTGCATGACCACAATGGCATTCCGGTGAGTTGGATCGATGTATCTTGTGCAGGAAGCTGTTTGTGTATGCTACTTCCAATCTAAGTCGGTGGATCAATGTCTCTAGGTGTCGTGGGAGGTCTGTCGGCTATGGAGAATTTTCTGTGTGGATCAACTTCATAAAGTACCGTTTCCTTTGATTTAGGGTTCTCAAACCACTACTCCATCAAACAATGGGTAGCTCCTTGCGATATAAAATAATCACATCGTCGTCTTGGGACGTGAAACTTCAAATATTATTATTGATATCATCCCAATTTCAGCTTATCCCTGCGAAATTATTGGTCTCCTCACTCAAAGTGTTCCAATTCATACCGAATTTTCTAAAGAGGCGATTGAAAGCGTGCAAAAAAGTAACGTGAAGACGAAGGTTGCCCTCAGCAGATTAACTTGACACCACAACGATAGACGACAGCGCAATGACAAAGTGCCCGACGTTGTCGCTATAAATCGGCGTACACTTAATTTGTCAATTGAAGCGACACATTCCTATCGCGGCTAGTGCACGTTGTGCTTTGCAGGTTGACGTCAGCCCTGCTGAGAAGCGTGTCCAGTAGAACAAGAGTTTTTGCAAGATTACTGCGGTATCATTGGTTAAGGTAAGGTTTTTCTGTCACAGAAATCATGGAGGCTGCGGATTAGTGCAATCATATGACTTGTGGCTTCTGACTTCTGCCTTTCCTTTTCTACCATTCATTTTCTACCTTGACGGTGACTTTCCACTGTGAAAACCTCTCTCAATAATTATTGTGTTTTCTGTCTTGATATATATCATAGCGGCCAGGTTTTTGATAATACTAAGAGA